GTCAATGCTCGTTCGTAAAGCACTAATTCCATAGCTGTTGGGTACTAAATCCATAGCTACCAATGTTTATCTAATAGGTACTAAGTCTATAGCTACCAATTCCTAACAGGTACTAAGTCCATAGCTACCAGTTCCTAACAGGTACTAAGTCCATAGCTACCAGTGTTTGTCCAATAGGCACTAAGTCCATAGTTGTCGATGTTATTTGTTAGGCACTAAGTCTATAGCTTCCAATGTTTACTCACATCATCTTTTATCTCTCATCATTCATCTACCCATCTCATACCCAACATACTTGTATATTTAAAATACATATACAGTTCAAATCATTTAAAACATGTATAAAAAAATGTTCATCCAGCATAGATAGCAAGTATTCAGATAATATGCATACATAGCACATAGTTTATATAAAATACTTCATATCTATGTGTAAGATAAAAGTAACTATGCACTCACCTGAGAAGGTGGTGATTCCGAACTCAGACAGCGCTTCACTTCTTGAAAAAAATAATTTCCTTTGACGAAACCTAGTATTATTACCACTAGAGTTTAGTCTATTATTCACCGAGACTAATTAATAGTCTAGAGATTATTACTATTATATAACCGTTAAATAATACTTATATAACCCATAATAATAGCCCAATTACTTATTATATGTTCTTAATAACGTTAATATAATTAAATAAAAACTATATTAAAAATAGCGTAGGCGTAGCTCACTTACAGCGGGTTTTATAGAAAACCAGGTTTTGCTTGGAGCAGCATTCCCGTGCGGAAAATCTCCTCTTCTCGGAGCCGTCGAGCACTCAGGGGCTTCCGCCTTGTGCTAGGGAGGTTCCCTAGGCTTTTCGGGGGGTTTCGGGGCTAGAGAGAGGTTCTAGAGAGAGAGAGAGAGAGAGAGAGTAAAGAGAAGAAAGAATGAGAAAGGTGTGAAAAAATGAGGATGGGAGAGGTTCTATTTATAGGGTGAAAATGGCTGAACTTGGTGCCACATGTCACCATCTAGTGGCAAGACTTGGGGAGAAAGCAATGGCCAAGATTGTATCACTTCACCCATTTTCGCACAGCACACTTCCGACTTCTAAAATCCGTAACTTTCACATACGACCTCCGTTTTTGACGTTCTTTATATGCACGTGTAGTTAAAAATAATATCTACAACTTTCATTTTGACTCCGTCGGCTAATTCTCGACCGATCTTAAATTTAACAGTACGAGGCGTTTAGACTGTTAAATAATCGCGAAGAATTCGTAACTCCTTCATACGGACTCTGTTTTCGTCTATCTTTTTACTGTTAAGTTCCTATTAATGAGATATTCAACTCTCATTTAAGTCACGTAAGCCAAAAACCGCTCGAACTAAAATGCGAGTTTCGGGTCGTACACTGCTAAGCCGAATCTTAGAAAAATCATAACTTCTTAATACGAAGTCAGATTTGGGCGTTCTTTTTATGGATTTTCTCGGGTTAACATATTATACGACTTTCGTTTAGATCACTAAGGCTAAAAAGTCCTCCATTGTAAAATCACTATTTACGCTTCCCGGTGTCGTGCCGGTTCCGTCGCAAAACTTTGACGGGTCATAACTTCTTCGTTATAACTCCGATTTCGACGCTCTTTATATGTACGGAAACCTTGTGAAATATTCTACAACTTGGTTAAGATTATTTATTCTAAATAATCTTTTGTCGAAGAGTCATTTTCGACCCCTATTACCTCTAAATTGACTAGCCCAGATCTACGGGCGTTACATAGGTCAACACCCCAAAATGGTTTGGCATGGGTAGGTCGGGCACCCCAAAATTGCCCGACAGAATGTATGATTGGATGCTATGTGGTATGATGGGGGAACTCAATAAGCTTCGTCCTTACCGTTTTTAGTTTTTGTTTCAGGTACCTCTTCAACTAAGGGGAAGGAGCCGGCAGGGTAGCAACGCATCGCACACACATGATTTCCGCTTTAAGAACCCTGAGATTGTACTCTGATATTTTACTATTTGAAGTTATGGTTTTTGAGACTTGTGATCTGTGCTTTGATGTTTTGAAATGATAACAATGATGTTTTTGTAAACTATTTTTATAAGTAATATAATTAAACAAAAAAATTTGGATCTCGATTTTGGGATGTTACACACCACAACTTTTTAGCCTAGGATATTTCACTCTGATGTTTGATATGTGATTTTGATACACTGACAGTTGTTATGATATTTTTGAGATACATGGTTTGTGATTTTTATATGATAATGATATTTACGGTTTTATTAATGATCGATTTAAAAACAAAATTTTGGACCATATTTTTGGGATGTCACATATAGTATCCTCTTAGTCATCATACATAAACATTAATTTTCACTATATTGAACCACCTTTTTTAATCCCCCGGAGTCCAAACATAGAACTTAAAACCATCAATCTTGATCCAAACCATACGCTTACTAGAAAGAAAATGTCCTACTTATTGTATACCTTTTTAAACAAAGGCTTCATTCTCTTAAGTTTTTTGAAATTCACTCCAGCCTTGACATTAGTGAACTCGATATAACCTATGTCCCCTAATATAAGATTTGCAGATATAGGAGTGTTTTAATTGTGAGTTTATGTAACTTTAATTTGGATGGTCTTTTCTTGAATTTATTGTTTCTGCAATGTTGGATTGTGTGTATAAAAACTATAATCGATAAAACAAACTTCATTTGAGCTTGACTAACTCGGAACTATCTATAAAAATCGATTGATTGTGTATGTACATTGTCATCCTACGCTTGTTTAGGTTGGTGTTATTAAAGTTCATTGTTTTTTGTTGCAGTTTAGATCCTCTCTACTTCTGGTAGGCCTAAACTACACATATCCCTTATGATCCCAAAGTTCTTGATTTTTTCCATAAACCTTATGATCTTGAAGTTCCTGGTATTGTCATGGATCTTCATATTTTTCCTTTGGACCTGGTTCTAGTCTCAATAATAATCAATGTTGTAAAATTTGTCAAGTTGGCCGATTACTCCTCCGAGTACTCGCTACTCGGCCCCTTACCGAGGCGAGTTATAGAATCCCGAGTACTCCCTGATCGGTCCCTTACTGAATTGAGCAATGTTGTAAAACTCAGTCAACTCAGTGATTAATATGTCTAATATACTTAATGATTTATTATTTAACACACACATACATATGATTATATATATATATATATATATATATATATATATATATATATATATATATATATATCTTAAATTTTCAGTAATTATTCACAAAGTGAGACCATTATGTGTTTTTTCTAGTTTTGTTATATATTTCAATCAACTTATTATTTGAACTTGTGATTTTGACATATATAATTTCCCTAAAAATATTTCAATCGATTTATGATTTGAACTTGTGATTTTGACATGTATCTAGTTTTGTTATATATTTCATCAACCTCGGTAAGGGGCCAAGTAACTTATGATTTTGATATATATAATTTCCCTAAAATAATTCTACACAAATTACCGAATTCGAGTACTCCCGAGTACTCATTATTTGGTAGTCGGCTGAACAGGCACCGATTAACGAGTTCTACAACCTTGATAATAATATATTAGCTAATCATTCCTCATCGTGTTTATGTTCGGCTTCTTGATGTTTTTAATTCTGAATTAAGGCCGAAGGTGTTCTCTTCCCTAAAAAACATTTGCTCAAGATGCATAATTTTTTGTTGGTAAAACTACAGACAATTTAGTATAGCGACTCTTTTTTAGAGACAGATTAATCCTAATTCTTGGTTTTAACTCCAAGCAAATTATATATAATATTTTCAAAAACCACATTAAGTTTCTTAGTGTCTAAAGATGCATAATTTATTCCCTGAGTAATGAGTAATAAAGTTACCGAAACAGAGACAAATTATTATCTGACAACTCAACAAAAGCAAAAAAAAAAAAAAATCAAAAATTGAAACACTGCAAACAAATGTTGATGATCAGAACGCGTAATCAAAACTTGAAAATCATTGACAACTTATCGTCTAAGTTACTTATTGACACTTCGGTATAGCTTCGATAACAATTCCTTGTACATGATCAGATTCAAGTCTTGTATGTGGTTAGCACCACCACAAGTCATGATCTTTTGAATGCGTTTCTCTTGCCTCCCTCTTGGATAAGTTATATGCTCCACCAGTTCAAGAAGGATTAGGTTACTTAGCGGATTAAAGATCAATCGACATGTATGTTAAAAGGTTTTAAATTTTTAGGTACAATAAAGTCGATATATTTTTTTTAGTTATAATGATTTTAAAATATAATTATAAAATGTTAAAAATTATTAAAAAAAAAAAAAAAAAAAAAAGTTTAGGCAAATATTGATATTTTTATACTTAAGAAGGGTAAATATGATATAGATTTTAGGTCGAATAAATATGATATTTTGATACGAAATTTACCATTTTAAAATGGGGACTAATATTCTATAAATGTTGAAGGGGAAAAATCAATAAAATATATATACACTAAATACTAGGTTGGCAATTCTCAGTACTACATAAAACCGACATGCAAGGGAAAGGTATGGGTTGATTTTAAATGGTTTTGTGTTACTTTTTGGGTTGAGTCATGTAACCCATATATCATAGATTCATAGTGTATTCTCGGGTTTCGACCCAATATACAGTTAACCGATTCATTTATGGTGTATATTTAACACCAACATCTAAGCTACTTTCCGAACACAGTCTTCTTATAATCCAAGTACTCATCGAAAATCAATAGCAACCTACAAATATATCAATGAATTAACAGAGTGTTCAATATAAATAGTGTGTTTATTTATATATATTATACATAATAAAAAAACAAACCGGAAATACAACTTAAATGAATGTATGAAACAAATTGCTAAATTATTATGATATTAAATATAATCAAATCATTTTACGTCATTTGTCATTAAGTAATATTAATATAACAGAATAATAATTGAATTAATAAGAATAGAAAAGTCGATAGACACCTCACTCACATAAAAAGTCAAATATAAGGTACACAAAGACCCACACACTCACTCAATTAATTAGGGATACTAATAAAATTAGCCTATATCTCTCTAATGTTACCTCAAAACGTCACATTCTTTATTTCCCTCATTTACACTTTATAAACCATAAAAAGTTGGGATGAAAAAGCATCAAATGTAAATTTTGTTTCCATTTTGCATTGTTTATGACACGACCCCTTTGTGTAAATGCAAGAATCATCAACGATTCTTCCCCGACCACATGACACCAAATACATAATAACCAAACAAATCTACCAATCCAATTCTACAACAAATAAATTAAACATAAAGACAAGAAAAAAAATATATATATATATGTCTCCTTTTACTTATAATTTTGAAAAATGTAGAGCATATAAGTTCATGCCAATATTCCCAACTTCACTTCTATCAAAATTTCTATTCCTTCATGAAAAAACCTGAAAAAGCATCAGTCATAATATTAACTTATTTATTTGTTATAAACGAGGGGTAAATAGGTAAATTTAGAGATTTCAACATACTTGATTAGTTTGAAGCATCAAGCATCGGCTTCTTTTTTGTTTGGACACAAGGAAGAAAGATGACCCTTTTCACCACACTCATAGCAAGTCCTCCTCCTTATCTTACCACTCGCCACGTCAGCCACTGTAGTTTTTAACGCTTCAACTTCCACGTCATCAGGTTCCTCCTTCCTCACATTCGCCACGTCAGCAGCTTGTTTCTTTGGGCATAAAGACAACAAATGGCCCCTTTCACCACATTCATAACAAGTCCTCCTCCTTAGCTTACCTTCACTCACCACATTATCAACAACTTCAGCCACCTCAGCTTTCTCAACCTCCATGTCATCAGCCACATCAGCAACAACTTTCTTTGGACATAAAGATGACAAATGCCCTCTTTCACCACATTCATAGCATGTTCTCCTCCTTAACTTACCATCACTAACAGGTTGAATCATTTTCTCATCAACAACCTCTTTGACATCAAACGCTTCCCTGCCCGAGTTTGCCACGTCAGCATCTTGCTTTTTCGGGCAGGCTGACGAGAGATGCCCCCTTTCACCACATTCATAACACGTTCTTCTCTTTACCTTACTATCAGAAACATCATTATCCACAACCACCAAAGAACCAAAAGCTTCCCTGCCCGAGTTTGCCACGTCAGCAACCTGTCGTTTCGGGCAGGCTAACGACAGGTGTCCCCTTTCACCACATTCATAGCATGTTCTCCACTTTAAAGCAGCATCACCAACAAATTCAATCGATTTATCATCAACCTTTTGGCTATCCACAGAAGCAAAAGTTTCCCTGCCCGATTTTGCCACGTCAGCAGCTTGCTTTTTCGGGCAGGATGAAGAAAGATGACCCTTTTCACCACACTCATAGCAAGTTTGCCTCTTTAGCTTTCGGGCAACATCATCAGTAACATCAGAATGAGTCAACTTACCATTGACTTCATTTTTACCAAAAGTGGGGTCCAGATTTGAGCTAGGGTTTACTGATTTTGGTGGAACTGCACATCTGATTCTTACAGGTCTTCCAAAAAGAGGTTTTTGATCCAATTTCAATGCCATTGTCAAAGAAAGACTATCTGAAAAGTCAACATGAGCAAAACCTTTGAATTCACCTGTTTCTTTATCTTTTCCAAGTCGAATAGGAGATATACTGCAATCTGAGAAGAATTTCTTTAATTCATCTTCTGTCATATCCCATGAAAGATTTCCTACATAGATTCTGTTGTAGCCTTCCAACATTGCAGGGGCAAAGTCGGAAACTTTTTTATCTCTGGTTGCCTTGTATGGTTGAACCTTTAGAGATAGTCCACCCCTGTAACATGAAAAAAGTTTCTGTTAACATTTTATAAATAATTAGTAAATAACTAAATATTAGTGTGTAAGTGTTGCTCACATATCAGATCCATCAAGTGCTAATGCTCTCTTTGATGCAGCTTCAGTCTGTGATAAAAGATTACAAGTAAATATATGGATACGAATAATTATATGTAAAAATTAATGTTTTTTTTTTTTAATTTTTTTCATACCCGGAAACTTATCATTGCAATCCCATTGAATTTCCCAGTTTCGGGAAATTTTAGACAATCTATTTCAGTAATGCTTCCACAATGTTCAAAAAAACTGCGAATATCATCCACTGTTGAGTAGTATGGAATGCCTCCGACATAAATCTTTGTAGAAATATTCGCATCTTCATTGCTGCATTAACATGTAGGATGATAAGTCAATTCATATGGCTTACCTTTCATCTTCTTTTATGTAATTTTCACTAAAGGAACAATCAGTAGATTCTAGAGACCTTATGAGAGATTAGAAGAAGGATAGAAGATTGAATTGAATGAAATTTGCAAACAAGCTCACAACGTATGAGTTGGTTATACCTGGTATGAATTTGAATTGGCTCTGCAACAGCTTGTTCTTGTTCTTCACTTACAGCATTTGGTTTTTGCAGAACTGATTCTTCCTTCACGACCACCTTCTTTTTCTTATTCTTTTTCTTCTTGTTCTTCTTTTTACTATTTTTATTCTCGCTCAAATCTTTCGCCTCATGTTCTTCCTTCGCCTCAACTCCATCTTTTTCTCTCTTCCTCTTCTTATTTGTCTTCAATCCGTTACTACCCTCTTCACTTTCTCTCTTTTCATCACCATTTTCATGATTTGATGGTACTGTAACTCTGCGTTTTTCCCGTTTGGATAATTTAGGTTTTTGGGTTACCAAATTCAGGAGAGATTTGAATGACTGAGGGGTTTGCGAGTCGTTGAGATTGGATTGGTTTGCTTGAGACTCTGATTTGGCTAAGGCTTCGGTGAGTTGGGCTCGTAGCTTTTCCTTTAGCTTCTTGTTTGATAGAACCATTGTGTAAAAGCTTGAGAAACGATGGAGGCAAATCGGCAATGGAAAGAGAGGCGACGGGGTATGGAAACCGGAAAAACCCCCAAAACCCTTTTTTGGGGAAAGCTTTCATGTGCACTTCAGTTTAGACCCTCAACTTTCTTGTAATTGCAAAACAAGTACCTGAAACTAATAGTTAAATATAAGGTTATCATTAGTATTTGGAAACTAATTTTTTAGAATTTGTTAAAGTTGTCAAATAACTTGAGTTTATATATCAAAAATGTAGTCAAACTCCTTTTTTCCATATGAGCGCTTGTTATCCCAAGTTAAATATGACACTCATCTTTCAAAAGAGTAACAAACTCATGTTTGTTTTAAAAGACTACTCAACTCATGTTTTATGTATGAGTATCTAGTTGAATAGAACAATGCTCTTTCAAATTTTATATTTTTGGCTCAAGTTTTTAAATTTTATTACAAATTTAGTGCCAACAATTTGGTTATAAATATGTCCCAAATTTAGTTTTTTATACAAAATTGATTTTCTACAACTTTTTTATTACGGTTTATAAGATATTTTTTCTAATGTTTTTTTAAAAAAATCTTTTATAATATTATTTTAATTTTTCTTTCAGCTTTCCCAATGTCTTATCATCAAATCCAAATGTTGTACGATTACAAAAATTTTTGGTTTTGCTAATACGTATGAGGCAATACAAAAGTTTGGAAGTTAGTAAAATATTATAAAATAAATTTTTTTTAAAAAAAAAAAAGATTGGAAAAAATGTAAGAAAACTAAGTCTTATAAAACATTATAAAAAGTATTAAAAACTTTATAGAAAATAAATCTGTAAAAAGGAAAAAACTAAATTTGGGACAAAAAATTTTAAATTTCTGACTAAATTTGTAATAAATTTAAAATGTAGACCAAAATTTTAATATTTAAAAGATGGGTGGCCTAACCATACAAAAAACATAAGTTTGCTATCCTTTTAAAATATAAAATCAGTGGTGCAACCTCGTAAAAATATTATTTTGGATTTCGATTATGTTATAACTTGTATCGAAATTATTGGTTACACTAGTGGTGCAAATTCATTGCATAGAATAATTGGATGTGGTAATGGATCTTCATCATTTAGTAAACCGTTCACCATTGTGAAATTCAATACAAGATATCGTTCACGATGATGCAAAACACACAACTCGATTACCTTTTCCAATTCTTCATCCCATGATGTAGATTCATCTTGCGTGTTTACTAAATTGTTTTATCAATTTCATCGAAAAGCTTTACCTTGTATTTAACTATGAATTGTGTTCTCACTCATGGTCAAATGTTGAGTTATCAACATACAATTTTCATAGAATTTTCACTCATTGTCAATTGTAAGAGTTAAAAGTACATAATGATTAAAAATACTAATTATAAAAAAAAGATGGTAAACTTACCAAGAGCACATCCTTAATAAGAAAATTTTGTAAATTTATGATTAATAGCTATAACACGTAATTAAAAAGTAAATGTACTACAAAATGAGTAATTTGTTCGTTTTTTTTTAAAAAAAAAAAAAACAATATCAGAAAGAACCAACAACAGGTAAACAAACTATTGAAAATCCTCCATTAGCAAATGTGAATCCATAAAAGTTTAAAATTTCAAAATACTAACAAAACTCAACACTTTAACACAAACTAAACTTAGATGATGCCAATCTTGTTAGCGACATCCAATGCATCATAGTCAGGAGTTAACCTCACATAGGCTTTCTTAGTTCCATCAGGTCTGCAGCATTACATAGATAAAAATTATGAATTTTAATCCACAATAATAATGATTAATATAAACAACTGATTGTGAGAGAAAGTGATAGTGACGAAGTTACCTGATCAAGGTATTGACTTTTTTGGTCTGAATGTCATACATCTTCTTCACAGCAGCTTTGATCTTCTTCTTGTCAGCACGAATGTCAACGATGAAAACCAGAGTGTTGTTGTCCTCAATCTTCTTCATAGCAGACTCTGTAGTCAATGGATACTTGAGAATCTGATAATGGTCCAATTTGTTTCTTGGAGGAGCACTGATTCTCGGATATTTAGGGTTCCTATCTGTCTTCAAAGTTCGTGGACGATGGAATGTAACTTTTGTTCTGATCTT